CATCTTCATTGATAGAGGTGATGTTGATTTAGTTTATTAATAGCTGAAGAGATCGCCATCTACAGTATTACAAGACTGTCATCAATATCTACTTTAGACTAGATGGGATGCTTAATGATAGATAGGCTGCAATTTTGCAATCCATTTTCTCCATCCCAATGTTGATCTTTATGTTCTCCTATTTTACCAATGTTTTGTTAGGGATGTTTTCATTTTCTCTTTCAAGTCGCTCTTTGACTACGATTTGTAATAGACATTAAACTAACTCAGCAATTGCATTGACATAGACTACTTTTAATCATGCTTTGCTATATTTATTTTTGGGTATTGGTTTTACTGACATTGGGGGTATACTTTATCCATTTGTACAGTATACACATCAATCATCTTCATTGATTATGGAAGCAATATTAACTTAGTTTATTGTCACTCTCGTTAAATTGCATTGGGTACAAGATACAAGATTAACTTTACATTTCATGCAAATATCATGTCTTTTTCACGTGGGTTACTAAGCAGTAATCCTTTCTACTCCTGATGATGAGTTGAGAGTGTTGAAGATTCCATTGCATGTCCCATATCCGGAAGTGAGGGAATGGTAGAGTGATTTGTAGCTGTAGTGTTTGGGGGTTATAAATATTCAAACTAGATCGATTTTCATATAGGATTAACTGCTTGTCCGACCATAGATTTTCATGGTTGAAGAATTGTGTGTGTGTGAAAGGATCGAAGTATTCGATATTGTCTTTGTATCTTTTCATGCGTAAATTTCCATCTTGGTTGAGTATCTATAGGCATTGAATTTTATGATTAGCACAACCTACGTTCAACAATGACGACGTCACATCGATTGTATGCAGTTATCGTTGTCTTACTGCTGTATGGTCTCCATTTTCCAGTAGTAGCAAAAGCCAGCCAAAACCCTATAATGAATTGAATGGAATGGTACGATCAGCTATGGACTAGAGTAGAGCTCCTTACATAATCAACTCATTACACTCGTTGTCATCCTCCTTCCAACTCATTTCCATATTGACACTGCGATCATTATGACTTACCCTTGCATTAGCAATCATTTTAGCATCTTTCTCTCCCCATACATCAACTA